TCAAATTAGTGTTTTCATTGATTTTAGGTAAATACCCAGTAGTGGGATTACCGGATCATATGGTATTTCTAATTTTTTGAGCAACCTCCATACTGTTTTCCATAGTTTTTCATCCATTTACATTCCTACCAACACTGTATCCAGCTTCCCTTTTCTCCACATCCTCACCAACATTTTACTTTTTTGTCTTTTTGATAATAGCCAATCTGAGCAATGTAAGGTGATCTCTCATTGTAATTTTGATTTTCATTTCCCTGATGATTGATGATGTTGAGCATCTTTTCATATGTCTATTGACCATCTGTATGTTTTCAAGTCCTCTGCCAATTTTTAATTAGGTTGGTTTTTATATTAAGTTGTATAACTTCTTTATATATTTTGGATATTAACTCCTTAGTGGATGTATGATTTGCAAATATCTTCTCCCATTTAATATGTAGTCTTTTCATTTTGTTGATAGTCTCCTTTGCTGTGCAGAAGCTTTTTAGTTAGATGTAATTTCATTTGTTCATTTTAGTTTTTGTTGCCTTTTACTGAGGAGATTTGTCCAAAGAATCATTGCTAAGCCTGATGACAAATAGCTTACTGCCTATGTTTTCTTCTAGAAGTTTTATGTTTTCAGGTCTTCCACTCAGTTCTTTAATGCATTTTGAGTTTATTTTTGTATATTGTATGAGATAGTGATCCAGTTTGGTTTTTTGCATGTAGCAGTCCAGTTTTCCAATCACCATTTATTGAAGAGACTGCCTTTCCCCCATTGTATATTCTTACCTCCTTTTGTCATAGATTGACTATATATTCATAGGCTTATTTCTGAACCCCCTATTCTATTCTATTAAAATATGTGTCTATTTTCATGCCAGTACCATGCCATTTTGATTACTATAGCTTTGTAGTATAGTTTGAAATCAGGTAGCATGATACCTCCAGCTTTGTTCCACCTTCTCAACATTGCTTAGCTATTCAGGGTATTTTGGTGGTTCCATACAAATTTTATAATGTTTTGTTCTGTGAAAATGCCATTGTGGTTTTGATGGGGATTGCATTGAATCTGTAGATTGTTTTTGGGTAATATGGACATTTTAAAAATGTTAATTCTCCCAATCCATGAGCACACTATATTTTTCCATTTGTTTGTGTTGTCTTCAATTTCTTTAATCAATGTCATAAACCTCCCTTGCTTGGTTAAATTTACTCCTAGGTATTTTATTGTTTTTATGCAACTGTGAATGAAATTGTTTTCTTAATTTCTCTGTTAGTTCATTATTACTGTATAGAAATGCAACTGATTTCTGTATATTAATTTTGTATCCTGCAACTTTACTAAATTTATTAGTTCTAGTAGTTTTTTTAGTGGAGTCTTTATGGTTTTCTATATATAGAATTATATCTGCAAATTATGACAGTTTTATTTATTTTCTAATTGGTATGCATTTTATTTCTTTTATGTTCTGGCTAGGACCTGTAATACTATGTTGAATAAAAATTATGAGAGTGTACGTCCTTTTCTTCTTCATGATCTTAGAGAAAAAGCTTTCAGGTTTTCACCTTTGAGTATGTTAGCTGTGGGCTTGTCATATATAGTCTTTATTATATTGAGGAACACTTCTATACTCTGCTGAGTTTTTATCATAAATGGATGTTGAATGTTGTCAAATGCTTTCCTTTGTTTGGGCTGTAATGTGTGTGTGTGTGTGTGTGTGTGTGTGTGTGTGTGTGTGTGTGGTGTCTTTATCTGGTTGTAGTAGCAGGGCAATTCTAGCCTCATAAAATGAGTTTAGAAATGTTCCCTCTTCAATTTTTTTAAAAATAATTTGGGAAGGATAGGTCCTAACTCTTCTTTAAATGTTTGGTAGAATTCACTCATGAAGCCATCTGGTCTTGGACTTTTCTTGTCACTTTTCTGATTTGTCTTTGAATCCCTTATAGTATATATGCTATTACTTTGCCCCACTTATGAAAAGTAGAGTTCAGGAAATTTGGATATATGTTAGGGGGTGGATACAGAGGCATTGGACTATATCTGTATATACTCTAAGGTCCTGGCTGGGTATCAAGTACATTCAGCACTCCAACCCTATAGTTGGCACTTCTCAAAACCCACATGAGGTGGCTTTATAAAAGAAAAGGTATTCTGGAAGTAATACTGCTTGGGGGAATTTGGAGGAGTCAATTTCAGTTTGGTGGTATGGGAATTACTTCCAGCTAAACTATAGAGATATGTTCTCTGTATAGGAGAGGTCAAGACTAAGGAGGTACAAACTGGAAGTCACATTGAGAATCTTCAATGGGAGGGGGTCATCTTTTTATTCAGTAAGCATCTATCACATGCCTAAACCAGGCACTGGGCTAGGAAGGAATAAAATCACAACTTGGTCAAAATTAAGTCAGTCTAGTTTGTATCTATCAAATCAAAAACTAGATACAGAAATGGAAAAATATTAACCATTAATCTCTGTCTCCTGCTTCTGTCTCCTTGACACTACAACTTTTGCTTTGATTTCCTTCTTTGACAATTTAGGTAAAAATTAGAATGGCTGATTAAAATGTGCCATGTTGGAAAGGGCAAGAGGAATTAGAAGGTAATTTTCCTTTATTCCTTTAAAAATCTGAGATTAAATCAACTGCTGCTTCTTCTCACCTATAGAACACAAAGTGCTTATGGAGCTACAGAAAGTATTTGCTGTTTGGAATGATTGTTTCAGAGATTTGGTTATAACCAGCTTATATGATGACTAAATTAAATAACATGTGAAAGCTTATAGCAAAGTCAGGATAGTGGGGTTTTTTCTTTCCTGTTTTTTTCTATGCACAAAAAAGAGATTACTAAGCAAATTAATAAGGAAAACAAAGTGCTCTTTTATTTAATAGCAGAGGCGTTTAGCAGCAGGCCTCTATTTGCACAATGAAGTTGCTAATTATAAATGAGTCCCATGTAGTATTTAAGGAATTTACAAGGCTCTTAGAAGCCTTAGAGTTCTGTGCTCCTTCCACTTACAGCATTGTGGCTGCAATTCTCAAAGAGAAAGAAGAGTATTGTTTTAAAGAAGTCCTATTAGTGAGACTGTTCATTTACTTAAACCAACACTCTCTCATTTGCCCCACTCCCCCTCTCATTTAAAACCCTAAAGTCAGGATGGGAAGTCAGAGCAGGAGGGCATGGCATACAAGGCCTTTGTCATGTACACTGTGATCCAGCTATAGCAGACTTCTTGTTATCCCTCAAGCAAGCAGTGCCCTTGACCTGTGCTGCATCTTCAACTGGCGAGTTCCTGCTCATCTTCTGTGACACAGCTCACAAGCCTCATTATCTTCTCTGAGCCACCTTTTCCAATACCTGTAGGTACTTTGCCCCTCACTTTACTGAATTCCAATCATAGTTTGCTCATATCTATTAGAACACTGATCACATTATATGGCACTCATGTGTTCCTACAGCCCTCTCCCCCACTGTACTGTAAACTCCTGGACAACAGGGACTGAAATGGACTCATCTTTTAACCCTCCCACCTATCCCTAAATGCCTAGCATAGTTTCTGGCCCAGTAGGTATTCAGTAAGTATTTGGCAAAGTTACTAGGATCAGGAAAGTAAATGGCAGTATGGTCTAAACGGGAAAAAAAAAAAAAGATCAAAATGGTGTAAAGAAAAGAAAAGAAAGAGATTAGGATAAAGGGGTCAGTAAAAGACTGGGAGTAGAAAAACCCTGGAAAGAAACAAGTAGGAAGGAGAGGAGTAAAGTAAAATACACATGCTGGGAAGAAAATAACATTGAGAAAGGGAACAATGTGAGGTGTGTGAAATTAAGGTAATGCAAGTAGTTGTCACTTTTCATCAAACACTCGGGCATTTCTGAAGCTCCTCTATCTTCACTTTTCCTTAGAAACAAAAAGGGATGGAAAGAAGAAAAGGCCAGACTACAGAGGGAGGCAGCAAACACTGTAGACTATGCACTGTCACTGCCTTTGGCTTCCCCTTCATCAGCCTCTCTCTTCTGATCTAGATCTGAGCTCTGTTTTTTCTACATGAAGGTCCATGTGTACACAAATTATATAGTTAGGAACAAATGGGCACATATATGCATGTTTGTTTCCCTTTTTTCTTTAATTCTAAAAAAAATTACAAAAGGCAGTGTCATAGCAAGACTCTGGCTCTTCCTGCCTTTGCTGTATCAGAGGGAAATATTTGCATAGCTCCCTGAGGAGGTGTTGGCCCCTGCCTACAGCCATGAGAGAGTAGAAAACTCTGGGGTGCTCCCTAGCTTGCTGAACACATTTACAGTGCATGAAGGGTGAGATACTGTTGTAATGATGCATGTAAACATGCCATAGTATTTGTTGTGTCTTTAAGATGAAATGATTTTCAGACTCATATAGCTCTCTTCCTCACAGGGGATGTGCCACTTGATGGTTGAAGCCTTTTGGAGTTATTTCTCGGGTAACCAAAAAGTGCCTCGCACCTATACAAAGCAGCACAGTACAGCCCTGGATTAAAGTCAGGAGCCGAGGTGGCTAGTGTGGGCTCTGCTACTCAGTCTGAGGCTGAGTTTTATCATCTGTCAAATGGGAGTAATCTCACCTATCTACTTGTTAGGGTTACTGTGAGGATCAAATCCCATGATTATATAAGATCCTACATGTGACCAATATTTCACAGTTTTCCAGTGATTCTTAGCACCATTCTTTCATCTGATCCTCTCAACAACCCTGCCAAATATTTTGATTTTCATTTTACAGATGAAGAGACTAAAACTCAAAGATAAGTGACTTGGCCAAAGCCACATACCTAGTAAACCAGGATGATGCAAGTTTTCTGTTTTCAAACTCATCTTCAATTATCCTTAGATACAAACCTGGCTACTCAGTGCTATTGGCTTCCTAGCCCCTGTTTCTTAACTTCCCTCATGGTTCCTCCTCCCTAAAGCCTCTGAAGATGATCTGTGTAATGAATTAATTAGCTTTTGTTTTATCCCCCCTTCTCCCTACTTTTTCTGACTCCTAGAAGAAAACACCAGCAGCCCCAACAAAGAAAACCAGCACCACCTTCAACATCGTGGGAACCACCTATCCCATCAACCTGGCCAAGGACACTGAGTTCTCTACCATCTCCAAGGGCGCTGCTCCCAGTGCCTCCTCAACCCCGACAATTATTGCTTCACCCAAGACCACCTACGTGCAGGACATCCCAACTGAGACCAAGACCTACAACAGTGTCAGCAAGGTTGACAAAATTTCCCGCATCATCTTTCCTGTGCTCTTTGCCATTTTTAATCTAGTCTATTGGGCCACCTATGTCAACAGGGAGTCAGCTATCAAGGGCATGATCCGCAAACAATAGATAGTGGTGATGCAGCAACCAGAGCATTGTATACCCTAGGAAGCATCCAGGAACCCAAACCCCAGGGCTCCCCTTTCTGTGTTTCAGGATTCTTCTTTTTAACTCTCTACCAAGCTGTGACTCTCAATTCATATTTATGAGTCTCAATGAAAAAATAATAACAGAAAAATTACTTGCCCCTTTGACATTGCTGAGTATACCCTCATCAGAGCCAAACACTGCCATTTGTTCAGTTGCTCACCTTAGTCTGCCAGTCTCCCCCAGCTGAGGGCACTGCATGTATTTTATTGCACTCTGCCCACTGCAGAAAGAACAGGAGACTCTATTACCTGTAGTGGGAGCCTTGGCTATTTGAGTGGTCCAGAGCAAAGAAGATTGTTGACTGGTCCAGATCATATGATTCTAACTCCTGAGGGAGCCAGTCTATCCCATGTGGTCCTGGTCTGCCACCTCCCTTGCCTACACCACGGCCCACTAGGTATAAGTACTGACAGCAAAGGCAGGAGCCAGTGCTAACCTCTAAACATGGCTCCAGCCTTTTTATTGGCTTGGAGGTTAGTGGGGACAGTTGAGGCTTACCACTGTTAATGATAGATAGCCAAAACAGAATCAACTAGGCCAGCCTGGTCTAAAGATGGCTGATGCCCTGCCAGTTTCAGCCCCTCAGGAAAATAGTACCCTCTTTGGTATATTTCTCCTTTGGGAAATTTCTCTTAAGTTCTTTGACCCTCCCCCACCCCTTTGTAGCCAGCTGGACACTGCTTAGTTTGGACTCATTACTGCCTGCAAACTCTTCACGAAAAGGATCAAGTATTTTTGTAATTTATACTAAAAAGGGACAAAGAGAAACAAAAAGATCTAGATCAAATGCCTATATATTTTTTTTAATTAGAGAGGAAAGTCACCTCCCTGCCAAGGCAACTAGTCAAATATTGGATGGGGTAAGAGATTTGGGCGGGGTGGTGGAAGCTTGAAGTCTAGCTCAAAAGAGAAAGCCACTGGCAGGTGAAAGTCAAATTCTTCCTTCCATGCCCTCCACACCCCAAATGCTAGCCCAGGCCTAAGAACTTTGCTCTCACCTTGTCAGCAAACTCTGGTTCTCTATTGATGCCAATTCTTAGAGGGGTGAATTGAAGTCTAGTTGGTTTTTGACTCAAGTAAATTATTATTACCAGGTTGATAATATATTATTTAGGGACCATTTGATCTCATTTGTTCTTAATGTATTATAATTGTAAAATTTTTATAAGGTAGATACACTGAGTCTCAGATGTTTGAATGACTTGCCTAGGCTCCTTATATGTGTCTGTAATAGAGAACTATCATCAGTCCCTTTCCAAAGGCCAAAATGAAGACAAGACTGAGAAGCAAGGTACATTTGACCTCTGAATCAGCACAATCTCAACAGTCCTACTGAGTCCTGAATGCAGTTTAATTGGACACCAAAAAGATTTGTAGGAATAAGTTACAATGTATCACCCAAGGAAACCACTTCTAATAGTCATGGCTCAATGGAATGATATTAAGATGGTAGCCCCAGCCACTAGTCCAGAATATCCTAGAAGCCCAAAGTAAAGCCACAGATGGCACCAAAAGCAGACTGTCCCTTCCCACTCCCTAAATAAAGCTCCTAAGGGATCTAACAGCCACTGGTTGCCTTTGCACCCATCTTTCCCCCATCCCCTGCTTCCTTGCCATTGCTGGGATAATGCATGCCAGTCCCATTATTCCTAAGAGTGTGTCTATAGGCAAATTCATGACTAGAAGGGTATAGTGTTGTGGATATGTGGGGACGGCGGGGTGGGGGGGGTGGCGGGGTGGGGGGTGGGGGGGTAGGGCTGTTAATGATTGTCTTAAGGAGTTTAAAATGAAAGCCTGACCTTTGCCTTTCTGTAGAAATTGTGTGTCCAAATGCTTTGGTGCAATGTTTAGCGGCTGTTTATTAAACTTCTGAATTGTATTCAGACTGGAGAACATTTTTTGGTTACTCTTTGCCTACCATAGGCAGTACTTTGTTGTCTTTCACTACCACTCTCAAGTCACCCTTACTTTCCACTTCTTACCACCATTGAAATAAGCTGGAAAAAAAGGGTATCCCCTGAGAAGAGACCTATTACAGTAATCAAAAATGGACCCCATGTGAAAACATAGCTTTGATTGACTCTGGGGTCTCATTACCCAATAAGACAGAGAAGGAAACACCTGCACTGCTTCCTCTGCTAAATTCACCCAATCCTAGGAAATAGCTAATTCTTATTGCAATTCTAAAGACTTTCTCTTTTCCGTTGGTTACAATTTTTCTTAGACGATAGTTCCCTTAGGTAATAGTTATTAGGCAGAGGGAGAGTGGGTGTCTGGTTGGTTGATGCATGTGTTGGGAAATAGATGGGGACCCTTATTTCTTACAGAGTTAGGAAAAATATGGGAAATAATCTCATGAGATCTTCTTGAGGAAATCACCTGGCTCCTAGATAATGGGAGAATTCTCTTTGGGAGAGCAGTTCAAATAATATAAAAGTTTTTATTGTCTGAAATAAAATGAGGGACTTGGCCAATCTGACCCTCAGTGCATATTCCAGCCCTGTGGTCATCTGATGGATGCCCTGCTGCTGCAACAGTCTCACAATCCCTTCACCAGTTCAACCATATCCCCAGAACAACCAGATGGCCGTGTCTTTGGCAAAATTGCATACCAATATTTAAGTGTTGTTTCCTTGAGAACCCTCTGAAACCACTTTGCCTCTGAAATGCCTCTGCTGTCTTGGGGCACCCGGGTGGCCCAGTCGGTTAAGCGTCCGACTTTGGCTCAGGTCATGATCTCCCAGTCCGTGGGTTCAAGCCCTGCATCGGGCTCTGTGCTGACAGCTAAGAGCCTGGAGCCTGTTTCAGATTCTGTGTCTCCTTCTCTGACCCTCCCTTGCTCATGCTCTCTGTCTCAAAAATAAATGTTAAAAAATTTTTTTTTAAAAAAAGAAATGCCTCTGCCCCCCTCCAGTCTTAAGGAAAAGCTCAGTCTGTCCCCATCAGCACTTCTGTTGCTGAACTTCCTAGAGTTTGAAACCCTTATCCCAAATTGGGACCTGTATTTCTGGACTCAAATATTTTGTGATATTTAGAATATCAATTCTAGATGCTGCTGTAAGAATGCCTAACACAAAATAGGCACTCAATAAGCATGAATAAATTAATGCTAATCTAGATGAGAGCTACATGAAGGAGGGATTATTTAGGGTGGTGTTGGAAAGGAAACTAAACCATGATCAGTGGAGATTAATAGAAACAAAAGCAATGTGCAAACTTCTAAAACAACTCTAAGAGCATCCAGGTACTATTAAGTATGCTCTGTTTTAAATCATTTTAAATATTTTTTCTACTTAAATAATTGTTTGCTTCTATGTACTTTTAAATCTGGAGCATTCAATTAATGGCCTATTAGTTCCTAGTGTTAAAGTACTGAGGGAAGGAGAGCAAGGCATTCCTGGGCACTAGGAACCTCTGAAAATCTCAAGCATAGCTCACTGGCCCATCTAGGATGCATTTGTATTATGACACCTTTCAGAGGGCTTCCCAGTCTGAGCTTCGGTAGGAGACCCTCTGAAACTCTGAATCCTTCCAATAAGTCTAGCAGAACATGGAATGAATATGAAGTGAAATGGAAAAGGAAGAACACAATTAGGGGAAATTCTGTCAAAGAAACCCTATAATTGGAGGCAGGGATCTTTCTTCATTCAATTTCAACAGCTTTGAATTACACATACTCTCTTCTGCCTAGAAATGTTAATCATGTGATCATCCACTAGAGTGAGGCTAAAGGTACCTGCCCTTATTGACTGGGCAGACTTCCCTCTGAGGCCTCCTACCCTTTCCCATCAGAGAGAAATCTGGATCTGTTTTGCCTTGCTTCTTCTGGAGCTCCAACAATTTGATATCATGGGAAAATACTGAGAATGAACACCTGGATTTTAGCCAGGGTTTAATCTCATCACAGATGTTAAGTGATGGTTCTGGGTAAGTCCCTCCCCTGAACTCAGACTTAGTTTCCCAATTAGTAAATAGAGAGCTGATCAGAGCCAAGACATTATAGTATGCTTTCCAGCAGCTGCCCTAGTAGTCCACTCTACCTCTGAGGGTCACCACATCCTTGGACCCCCATACCAGCCCACCTAAAGAGCACAACCCCTATCTTTGATTGCCTGACATACAACTCACATGGATTGGCAGCTTCAAAAGAATTTGGTTAAATACCAAGACAGCAAGGTGGTTAAACCTGGGAATTCAAGGGCCAAACTCATATCTGGTAGTGACTTCCTCAAGCCCCACACCATATCCTTGGCCTGAGCTTGATGTGGCAGGGTCTTGTGTAATGGTGTGTAGGAGCTCAGCTCCTGTCCCATCATGAGAAAAGTTGGGTCCTACAGTGAGAATATTAAAGTGGTGCTGGTGTCAGACAGGGATCCCCCAGGTAAGCCAAGAGCACATACCTCCCCCCTTTGTTTTTCCTCCAAAGGTTCAGCTTTGGGTAGAACAGAAACCATCCGAATGAACTCCCTAAACTTTTTGTGACCAAATCAACAGAAATCATGGGATCTTCACATGCCATCACTCCCTTCCCTTCTGTCACAGGCTAAAAGTTGGCATCCCTTCTGTCTGAGACCAGTCCCTCCTTTGTTCTTCATCTCTGCTCCTCTCTTCTAAAATAATTCTACTTCTATTATCTGCTTTCAGTGAGCTACTCCTACTGAGTCACCACTACCCTGGTTACTAAAACCTAAAGGCATTTTTTTCATTTATCTTACTTGAACCTATCAGCAGTATTTGATACTGTTAACAATAACTTTATGTTTCGGTTTTTATGACACCATAGTTTCCTGATACCCCTACTTTTTCCCCCTGCTACCTTTCGGTTTGTCATGATTTTTCTGTTCAACTTCTCTCATCTCTTAAGTGCTGCGTTTCCCTAAGGTGTTTTTGTTCTTATCACTTCACACACTCCCCCTGAA